CGCTTCTCTCGAGTACGGCGCGCACCCCCGCGGGCGGCCATGTTCAGTCAGGGCGCCACCCGGCCCGGCGTCGGACCCAGCAATGGAAGCGAGGCCGGAGGCGCCATCTCGCTTTCGGGCACAGGGCCAAGAAGGGCGGGGGGCCGCGAGACGGGCGGCTCGGGATCCTCCTCCTCCGCTCGTCCCTCGCTTGCCCCGGAGGGCGGCCGGGCGCAAGAGGCAGGCGGGCGCTCGCCGAGGGCCGGAGCAGGTGGCCGTGGCCGCTCCCGGGGGCCTGGCCGAGAAGAGCCTGAGCCCCGGCGGCAGCCGGGGGCACCGGTTGGGGGTCCTTTTTGAAAAGTTATTTGTGAAATCTTATAACAAGAATTAAAGTAGTGAAAGTGACTTTACAGTGAGTGGCAATACTATATGAAATATAATTAAAATAAAACCATAAGTTGTTTACCAGAGCGCCTGGCAAGGTCCGTCTCGCCATGACTCGGGCCCGGCTGCCCGGGGGCTGGGGCCCCCAAAGGCGCCGTTCCCAAGCTGCGGGAGCGGGGAGGGTTTCTGCGGGAGGAGGCGAGCCTCCTGGCCCCAGGGCCGCAGCTAAATCCCACCGCCTGCGACCGTAGTTCGGTACCTGTTGCAAACCATTCGGTGGGCAGGTGGGTGGGAAGCATTCAAGTTTCATACCCGCGCCGTGCGTGCGATTCACTGCACGGAGGGAGCCCTTGCAGGACAACAGGCGCAGGAGAGTGGGCAGCCTTGCGCAGGCTGGAGGGGCAACCGTCCCCCTCCAGCCTGCGCCACCGATGCCTCTGTGAGGCGGGACTGGTGGGAGTTGCGAGCCCAGAACATCTGGCCTTCCGCGAACACCACAGGGGACTCCGGAGCGGCAGCTTAGGGCACCTGGCCCTGGCGTGAGGCGTACCTGCAGGGATGGATCATCCCAGGGGGTTAAGGATTGAACGTTAAAGAATGCCGGTGCAGTAGGATTCAGGGTGACTGTTTTGGGAGCAGCCCTCCTAGCGCACCCTCCCCTCGCTCGGGCAACCGCCCCAAAGGGTGGGGAGAAACTGCAACAGCTGCCTGTTTCATTCTAAGCCAAGCCCCCTCCTGGCCCTCTGGCACCTCCGTGGTTGCTGGCGGCCACCCCCAGCTCTTACCCCCCCCCCAGGAGTGCAGCCAGGGGCAGGAGCAAAGCCCAAAGTATGCTCCTTGTGTAGCTCTCAAAGCGCTCTGATGCAGGGGACCCAGGGCAAACCGCTCCCCCAGTGAGCTGGGCACTCCATTTACCAGCCTCAGAAGGGTGGAAGGCTGAGTCAACCTTGAGCCGGCTGCCTGGACCCGTCCAGATTGTGCTCAGGTTAGGAGCAGGATCTTGACTGCAGGGCTGCAGCGGAGCCTGAGGAGTGAACGCTCTGCAGAGGGTCCGGGGGTCCTCAAGTGCCCAGAAGTGCAAAGGCCAGCTTGGCCTCCACAGGGGAAAGCCTGAGTGGGTCTCCAACAAAACCGATGGGCCTCGGGAGAGGAGGCTTGTGGGAATCTCCCTGGCCCCCTCACCCTGCTCCGGAGGGCCCCACCCACTGCAACAAAAAACACATCCCAGCAGGAACGGGGGGAGGGGGGGAAGGACAGGAGTCCTCCAGCTGTGCTCCAGGGAGGGACAGGTAGGGGTCCCTAGGCCTTCAGGCAGGGTCTCTCTGCCCGCCCCGCCTGGAAACCTGCCTGGATGAAACAGAAGTTTCCTGCTGCTGAGCCAGTTTCTCTCCTTCCTTCCTTCTCCTCCTCATTCCTCAGAGTGGGGAAGGGTCACTGGACCAGTGGTGCAGGAGAAGGGCTGATCCCCCCCCCCCGCTGGCTGCCAACAGGAGCTTGGCACCATGAAACAAGGAGGGGCCTCCACTGGGGTCTTGTGATCCTTAGAGGATTCTTATGGCCTACAAAAGGAGTGATGGGCCCTTCCCAGGGTTTCCGAGGTGCAGAGTCCTTAAATGCCAATTGCCAGTCCCTCCTTTGGGAGAGGGGTGTGCACTGCGGACCACCAGCAGCTAGCCTAAGGTTCAAAGGCTGGCTCGTCTCCTTGAAGCTGCCATGAGGAACGGGACTCCTGAACTCGCCCCCCCCCTCCTAAGCCAAGCAAAAAGCACTCAGGCTAAAGTAAGTGACTGTTAAAGTAGGCCCATTTGAATCTATGAAACTTATGGAAGAGCTGGCTCATCAAATCCCCACTGATTCAGTGAGCCTCCTCTAGTGCAATTTACTATGCTAAGCAACAGGATTTGGGCCACTGAGTTCAAGTCTGCGGCTTGAGTGTCCTCTGGGATTCAACCCTGAGCCTGGATTTTCAGGTCTCCCGGGCAGCCAGGAGGGTGCGGTTGCCGAGGGAAAGCTGGCAGCCTGGGGGCACCCATTCCAAGGATCGGCCTCCTCAACATAATTAAGAATGACCAACTTTAAAAAGAAAAGAAAGTTGATTGTTATAATGGTCACTGTAACAAGAACTGGAAAAGCAACAAACAAATTGATCTTGAAGAATGGTACTGTATAAAGAAATACGGAGTTTGTATTTTAGTTTTAATTTTGTTTTATTTGTAATTTTTCTTTTATTAATTTAAAAAAGTTTTTTTAAAGCGTCTTTAAGTGTTTTTGAACGGTGAGGTTTTAGTATAGCGCTTAGGTGCTGAACGTGACCTTCTTATCCTGTGCCCGCCCCAAGCCGTTCTTAATCGCGACGGCTGTGTCCTCTTGGCGATTGGGGGGGGGCGCCCCCCCGCCCCCCCCCTCCCCTCCCCAGGGGGGAAGG